ATATAGCAGAAGATGGGAACCGGAGGGCTGCGAGGGGCCCACGAGGCAGGGGGGCGCGCCCAGGGGGGTAGGGCGCGCCCCCCACCCTCGTGGCCAGGGTATGGCCCCCCTCTGGTATTTCTTCTACTCAGTATTTTTTATTAAATCCAAAAATGACTTTCGTGGAGTTTCAGGACTTTTGGAGCTGTGCAGAATAGGTCTCTAATATTTGCTCCTTTTCCAGCCCAGAATCCCAGCTGCCGGCATTCTCCCTCTTCATGTAAACCTTGTAAAATAAGAGAGAATAGCCATAAGTATTGTGACATAACGTTTAATAACAACCCATAACACAATAAATATTGATATAAAAGCATGATGCAAAATGGACGTATCACTAACCTATTAACCTAGAGCCCAGTGCCAGTTTCTGTTTTTTTGCCTGTTTTAGAGTTTCGCAGAAACAGAATACCAAACGGAGTCCAAACGGAATAAAACTTTTGCGATGATCTTTCTTGGACCAGAAGCAAACCAGGAGACTTAGAGGTTAAGTCGGAGAAGCAACAAGGCGGCCACGAGGGTGGAGGGCAAGCCCAGGGGGTAGGGTGCGCCCCCTACCTCATGGGCCCCTCAGAGGTCTCCTGACCTAATTCTTTCGCCCATACATACTCTTATACCCCAAAACCATCAGGAGGAGCCACGGAAACACTTCTCCACCGCCGCAACCTTCTGTACCCGTGAGATCCCATCTAGGGGCCTTTTCCAGCGTCCTATTGGAGGGGGATTCGATCATGGAGGGCTTCTACATCAACACCATTGCCCTTCTGATGAAGCGTGAGTAGTTTACCACAGACCTACAGGTCCATAGCTAGTAGCTAGATGACTTCTTCTCTCTCTTTGATTCTCACTACCATGTTCTCCTCGATGTTCTTGGAGATCTATTCGATGTAATATTCTTTTGCGGTATGTTTGCCGAGATCCCATGAATTGTGGATTTATGATCAAATTATCTATGAATATTAGTTGAGTCTTCTCTGAATCCTTATATGCATGATTTGATATCTTTGCAAGTCTCTTCGAATTATCGGTTTAGTTTGGCCTACTAGATTGGTTTTTCTTGCAATGGGAGAAGTGCTTAGCTTTGGGTTCAATCTTGCGGTGTCCTTTCCTAGTGACAATAGGGCAGCAAGGCATGTATTGTATTGTTGCCATCGAGGATAAAAATATGGGGTTTTCATCATATTGCTTGAGTTAATTCCTCTACATCATGTCATCTTACTTAATGTGTTACTCTATTCTCCATGAACTTAATACTCTAGATGCTGGTAGGAGTCGGTCAATGTGTGGAGTAATAGTAGTAGATGCGGAATCGTTTCGGTCTACTTGACACGGACGTGATGCATATGTTCATGATCATTGCCTTAGATATCGTCATAACTATGCACTCTTCTATCAATTGCTCGGCAGTAATTTGTTCACCCACCGTATTATTTGCTATCTTGAGAGAAACCACTAGTGAAACCTATGACCCCCAGGTCTCTTTTCCATTATATAAGTTCTCTTTTCCATCATATTAAGTCTCTTTTCTATCATACTAGTTTTCGATCTACTATTTTGCAATCTTTTACTTTCCGATCTATAAACCAAAAATACCAAAAATATTTACTTTACTATTTATCTATATCTATCATATCTCACTTTTGCAAGTAACCGTGAAGGGATTGACAACCCCTTTATCGCGTTGGCTGCAAGTTTGTTGATTATTTGTGCAGGTATTCGATGACTCGTGCGCTGTCTCCTACTGAATTGATACCTTGGTTCTCAAACTGAGAGAAATACTTACTCTAGTTTGCTGCATCACCCTTTCCTCTTCAAGGGAAAAACCAACGCAAACTCAAGAAGTAGCACATGGTAAGAAAAAAACAATGAAATGTTAGCACACACATGAATACTTGCACTTGTGTCCACCCACCAATTGATGGACTGACAAACTAAAAATATAGTAAATAAATTATTGTACCAAGATGCACCACTCTCATTGTTGCTCACAATCATGTTGGCAGACTTGGAGTCCTGCCCTAACTTCTTGTACTTGTTTGGGCACTTGCTAGCCCAATGTTCCTCCGAAGCATAGTTGAAGCAGCCATCACCCTTCTTGTTCTTCCTGAAGGTCTTCTTACCCTTCTTTCTGAAGTAGGTACTCTATTGGACACCGTTCTTTTCCCGAGCTTGTGGGAATTGAAGTTCCTCTGATGCACCATATTGGTGATAGAAGTTCCTTCAACCCCTTTTTCGTGCGAGTCTTTTTCCGTCGAATTCCGTTCAACACTCAAATGGCCGATGACATCCTCTACTAAGAATTCACGCCTCTAATGTTTCAGAGTGGTAGCAAAATTCCTCCAGGAATTAGGGACCTTAGCGACTATGCACCCCGCAACAAATTTGCCCAGTAAATTGCACTTAAGCAGCTCAAGCTCCTTAGCGATGTTATTATCTCATGAGCCTGTTCCAATACAGAATGGTTCTCGGCCATTTTGTAATCGTGGAACTACTCAATGACATAGATCTCGCTCCCAACATTGGTGGCTCCGAATTTAGATTCGAGCACCTCCCACAAGTCCTTGGCAACCCGCATATGTAAATATGCAACAACAAACTTATCTCCGATCACGCTCAGAAAGCACCTCCCACAAGTCCTTGGCAACCCGCATATGTAAATATGCAACAATAAAGTTATCTCCAATCACGCTTAGAACTGCTCCGAGAAATACGACAATGGCCCCCTGAACACCTTCTCCTGTTCAGAAGTGATCGTTCCTGTGGGAATAGCACTGACGACCCAGAACACGTTCATTGCCATGAGCCATAAGGTGTTTTTGGTCTGCCAATGCTTAAAGTACGTCCCCATAAACGGGGTCGGTTTCACTGCACCAGCAAAACCTTGATTAAAAAAAATCCTACACAAATTAGGTTTTTGGATTGCTGAGTAAATAGGCAATTTATGGATTAAATTAATCCAAGAAATAATCATGATCATGACATTGACAAAATTAACAACATATATATTACAAACCAGATAAGCACATACTACGCAAAACAGTAGACACATCTACACATAATGCTAGTACGGCCAACACAGAGATAAAACAGGACAGGGATAAACGTGTTATACCCTCTAGTTGGCCAGGCAAAAGCCACGACGGCGTCCTCGGTAGCCTTCTTCTCGGCTTCAAGTTTCTCGGCGGCGGCACGGTCGGCTTCGTTGGCGGTGGACATGGTGATGACGTAGACGATGCAGTGGACGTGGACGAACGGCGGCGAGCAGTCGCATAGGAGATGCTCCCCAAAAACCTAATCGCCCCTCTCCCGTACAAGATCCAGAGAGGCGGGGATTCGGAGGCCCGCTCTCCCGTCAACCGTGTACGCGGTGGACAGGATGGGATCACTTATGGCAGCAACAGCAAAAGGAACGACAGTGGGCGTGGAGGCAGATGCGACCGGTTTCACGTGACGGCTAGGGTTGGCAGACGTCTCACATATATAGGCGTGGCCGCGTGGAGAGACATCTCCGTTCCTGGCCGGCAAAAAATAAGCTCATAGGCGTGAGCTCGACTCGGCTCATTCCCACAATCCGCGGCGCAGCACGTCGTGACGAGGCAGACCGCTGAGGAGAAGCGCATGGGAACCACTTCTCCTCTCAAGCTCCAATAGCATGCGTAAGAGAATCCCTTAGATCAAACTCCTCTCCAACTACCGGTATGGGACTACACTTCCCACCACAGCTACCGCCATATAACCCACATTAGCCTTTGGAGATTTTCTGAATTTGTTTCTTTTGAGGGGTTGATTTTCTGAATTTGTTAGATGGGCCCTAGGCCCACCCTCATATTTCAACACGTAGGTTCTAAATAGGGACAAAAATGCAATTGTCCCTAAATTTAAGCATAAACTATTTTATTTCAAAATTTTATGTCTGGATTTTTTAATTCAAATTATTATTGCATTCGAATATTTATTTTCAGTTGTAAGAACATGTTATTACATCTTTGATTGTTTTGAATAGTTCGGGTATAAGAAAATAAATTGAAAGCGGACATTCGGTACCTGCCGTTGGATTGCCTCCGCCTTATCCCCACACACATTTAAGAAGTTCCATTTTGATGATCCACGTTTCAAGTCGCCTTTAACATGCGATTGCAAGAGCCTCTTTAATTCGCGGGATTCTAAAAACATGGGAATAGAAAAAACATAAGATTAGAAGGTCAAAACATCTCAATCCTGCATGATTTTGGGTTGTTTAATTGCAACATAGGAAAAACAAAGGACTCTAAGTAGGTCAAAGAATTTCTTAGAGAAAATTTCTATATATGATTCAATCATATGAATCGAATGACCAACTAGGAAAAAATTATAAGGATTAATCCCCTAATACTGCTATGCAAATCCTTTGAATCAAAGGAGCCCTGAGAATTTTAGATATTCTCTTCCGGCGTTCATTTCACCCGATTTCATTTTTTTTACAGTTCAACCGATGTCATGCTGCAGTGTGAAACGCATCTCATTCACAACAAAGGAAGCTCCGTTGGGCTAAAAAAAAGCCCTACTGTCCATGTGACATCTCCAAATAAGCAATTATAAGCGATAATGGAGAAATTCCAGGAGGAAAAAGTAGAAGTTGATTGACACAAACAACTTGGCATTACTTTAATCAAATCAAGCCCCAGTACAAGCAACTCATTTGGCGAATGGGTCCCATGAAAAGGTCCAGCTTTGAGGAAGGTACAACTGCGCATTGGATAACATGACATGCCGTCCACTTCACATTTACAAACAAAGAACAAATTGACAAAAAAATGGCACTGCTGGTAGTATTCTCCGCACAACCACACAACAAAAAGGAAACACCATAGATGCTTTAGCTCACTTACATAATTTAGTTTGACACGTTTGATATGAATGGAAGGTAATGCTCGGAGTTGGCACACGCAACGGCGCGTACGCAGGCGCCGCTTCTTGCCGGCCCCTCACCGAACCATGTCGCACATTCCCGGGCGCGTGCGGCACCAGAGCGGCTGGATGGGCTCGGCGCGGATCCCTCGCCCCACCATGCGGTGCCGCCAGTCGTTGAGCCTGTCCGTGGCCTCCGCGTACCGCTTCCTCCCGGACGCGTCGCGGTTGCCGGACCACAGCGCCTCCGCCATGGCCGACGCCCGCGGCCAGATCCTGGCGTCCAGGACCGTCGAGTCGGCCTGCTCCGTCCACAGCGCCACCTCGCCGCCGATGACCAGCTTGGCCTCTTCCGCGGTGAGATTGTACGCGATGTCGTAGTCGTACACCCGTTGCCACGTCTTGAACGGCCCGCACCACGAGCCCCCGTCCGTCTTGTAGTCGCTCCTCTGGTCGTCGTACACGCTGTTGTTCCCGACGAAGTCGCCGTGGCCGCAGTCGAGGTAGTAGAAGGACGCGGAGGAGACGATGGCGCGGTACCCGGCCTGCACGATCAGCTTCGTGTTGTTGGCCCCGTTGTTCCACGTCTGCAGGATGGTCGTCGCCGGCGGGATCACCGACGAACTCACGTTCACCTCCAGGTCCAGCAGCACGTCCTCCCAGAACACCACCGTCCGGTTCTTGGACACGACGTGTGGGTGCACCGCGCGCACGTAGTGCTCCAGGAGCTGGCTCAGGGTGCCGCCCTTCTCCATGTCCGCCTGGATCGACGGGTCCGTCTCCCAGCATCCCGGGGTCACCTCGTCGGCGCCGGCGTGGTAGAAGCCTTCCGGGAAGAGGGAGGTGAGGTCGTTGATGATGTTGGTCATCACCTCGTACGTCTTGGGCTCCAGCGGGTTCAGCTGGCCGGACCCCGGCTCGGCCGCGAGCCTGGTGCCCCAGTCGCTCGCGTCGGGCAGCCAGAACTTGCCCGCGCAGGACACCGCCTCCGGGTACGCGCCGGCCCACGACGCCGTGTGGCCTGAAAAGATTAGCTCGTTCATCAACTGGGCCGTGTTACCTTAAAAACTGGGCCGTGTCAGCACATTGCTTAGTAGGCCGAATGGGAAAAATAGCAGCCGTGTCAGCGTGCTTAATTACCCGGCGCGTCTATCTCCGGCACGACGCGGACGCCGCGGCTCATGGCGAACTCGACGATGCGCTTGACGTCCTTGACGGTGTACCTCATGTCCTCACCGTACGCGCCCATCTCCGCGAGCATCGGCTCGGACGGCAGCTCGATGGGGAACGACTGCGAGTCCGTGATGTGCCAGTGGAACACGTTCATCTTGTTGGCCGCCATGGTGTCTATCGTCCGCAGGATGTCCACGACGGGGAAGTAGGTCCTCCCGGTATCGAGCATCAGGCCCCGGTGCTGGTACAAAGGCTTGTCCTCCACGCGCACGCCGGCGGCCACCAGCAGCTCCCCTTGCCGGCCCCTCCACGCGAGCTGCGAGAACGTCTCCAGCCCGTGCATGGCGGCCCATACCGTGGCAGCCGTGATGGTGGCCACGCCCGTGGGGAGGATTTCCAGCGCGTAGGACTCGTCCACGCCGTCCTGGAGCGGGGCGGACAGGTCGGACACGGACACGGTCAGGCTCTGGAGCGCGGGGCCCCCGGCGGTGACATTGACCGCCGGCCGGACGATGGGCCTGTACCTCTCGGCGAAGAGCAGCGCGGTGTAGCGCTGCGTGGCGGAGACGAGGTACGGGCTGTTCCCGGACGTCCCGACGATGCGGAACGACGCGGACACCGGCATGGCGGCGAGAGGCTCCGCCCAGGACATGGACGTCGGCTTGGGCCAGACATTGACGGGGAACGACGACGATGCCTGGGCGCGCGAAGGCAGCGGCGAGCTCAGCAAGGACAGGAGCAGGACGGCGGCGAGAAGGCCCTTCTTCGCCGCCATTTGTGGTTTGGCTCGAGCTGCTCTGTACCGCTGCACCGTATGATTGGCAGATGCCTTGATGTTTGGGTGTATGCATCAATGTGCCATTCGATTTATATAAGGCGTAGCTTAGCTATGTGATCAACGGCATGGCTCGGCGTGTTGTTGTCATCTACGCGCGCGCTTATCGCAAGACTCCAAGTGGCTCTTTCAGGGCGCCTTGGCGCTACCGTTCGTCCATTTCTGAAAGCTCCGGTTTCGTGGCGTTTTATCTCATATACGATGCCGGCGTTCTGCCTTATGTATGCCGGTTAGCCAGCGATGACTACACGTTTTCTATTGGGTTTCTCGGCCTAAAAGATGTAGTGGAACGGCTGCAACGGCAGTAGTAGTTTACTAATAGCTGTACAAGTTTAGGCGGACGTAATCCCTAATCAGGCAGTGTACGGCCTGCTGATTGTACTATAATAAGATCCGTAGGTGAACACTATAACACGTCGGTTATTTTAATGCCGCCACAGGTGCAGTAGGGCTCGAGCAGTGTGCATGAGCCATATGGTGGTAGACGAACCAGACTTGGCTTTATTTTAGCAACTAGCCTTATTGGTTCAGAACGAAACAGACACAAAACGAGCACCAGAGTCTTTAACTACTCTCACGGCTGTGTTTGATTCTCATGATCTGCTGCCCGGATTTGCTATTTCACAAGCGATTGAAAAATAGTTACACGTCGATTTGGGGTGGTAAAGAGGGGCGCCCCTATGTCTCGCCTGCGCGAGACAGAAGGAGGTCTCGCTTCAGCAGACGCCCGATTGGGCCTCCCAGCGCGGACAAGCCTTCAGGGCTTTTAAAATTCTTTTTTATATTTTTCGTTCCTTTTTTGTTTTACTTTTTTTATTTTACTTGTATTTATAATGTTGTGAATATATCTATTCAAAAATAAATTTATATGCAAAATTTGAAAAACATTAACCCGCATTAGAACAATGTTAAACGCGTATGAAAAATGTATCTAATGTATAAGAAAATTGTATAATGTGTATGGAAAATAGACATCAAAACATATGTATTTGAAAAATGCTAAACGTGTATATACAAAATGTACCTGATTATACAAAAAATGTACAATGTTTATGGGAAATGTAGACATAAAAAATATATGTTAAAACAAATATTAATTGTGTATTTGAAAAATGGTATACGTGTATATAAAAAATATTGCCGATATATATAAAATGTACAATGTGTATGTAAAAGAATAGACATCAAAATATTAAATGTTTTAAAAATGTGAATCATGTATTTGTAAAATGTTAAATGTGTATATAAAAAATGCTCCTAATGTATTAAAAAATGTAAAATATGTATGCAGAAAAGTGGACATAAAAAAATGTCAAAAAATTTCAAAAGCGGTCGGACTTCATCCGTCGGGAACCCATTGCAAATGACGCTTGAATCCAGCGATAGGCGTGTCGTTGTTGCCTCGCCGAAGGTCGTGTGGTCCGTCTGGCGCCCCAATGCGATGGCAGAGGCACAACCCCTTAGTTAGCGCGCCGAGTCGGAGGTGAACGCTCGTACCCATTGCCCATCTAGCGGGGAGGCTATGGTGCGGCGTGCCCGCCGTGCGACGCAAAGGGCGCAAGATGCCATGACAACCCTCACGGCAGATGCCGACGAGTGATGTCTGCTAGAACTACGTTGGTATTTCCCCAAAGAAGAAAGGATGATGCAGCACAACAACGGTAGGTATTTCCCTCAGTGATGAGACCAAGGTTATAGAACCAGTAGGAGAACCACGCAACACCACGTAAACCGCTCCTGCACACAAAAAAATACTTGCAACCCGACGTAAGAGAGGGGTTGTCAATCCCTCATGGGTAAAAAGATAGGTAGAATTATAGTAGATTGGATAAATAGATCTCGCGAGATAAAATAAATTACTAAAAATTGCAGCAAGGTATTTTTGTATTTTTGGTTTAATAGATCTGAAAATAAAAGCAAATAAAAATAGATCGCAAAGGCAAATATATTAAAGAAGAGACGTGGGGGTCGTAGGTTTCACTAGTGGCTTCTCTCGAGAAAAATAGCAAACGGTGGTAAAACAATTACTGTTGGGTAATTGATAGAACTTCAAATAATCATGATGATATCCAGGCAATGATCATTATATAGGCATCATGTTCAAGATTAGTAGACCGACTCCTGCATACATCTACTACTATTATTCCACACATCGACAGCTATCCAACATGCATCTAGTGTATTAAGTTCATGGGAAAACGGAGTAATGCAATAAGAACGATGACATGATGTAGACAAGATCTATTTATGTAGAAATAGACCTCATCTTGTTAACCTTAATAGCAACGATACATACGTGTCGTTTCCCCTTCTGTTACTGGGATCAAGCACCGTAAAATCGAACCCATCACAAAGCACCTCTTCCCATTGCAAGATAAATAGATCAAGTTGGCCAAACAAAACCCAAATATCGGAGAAAAAATACGAGGCTATAAGCAATCATGCATATAAGAGATCAAAAGAAGACTCAAATAACTTTCATGGGTAAAAACATAGATATGATGATAAACTCAAAGTCCATCCGATCTCAATAAACACACCGCAAAAAGAGTTACATCATATGGATCTCCAAGAGACCATTGTATTGAGAATTAAACGAGAGAGAGGAAGCCATCTAACTACTAACTACGGACCCGTAGGTCTACAATGAACTACCCACGTATCATTGGAGAGGCACCAATGGACATGATGAACCCCTCTGTGATGGTGTCTAGATTGGATCTGGTATTTCTGGAACTTGCGATGGCTGAAATTGATTTTCATCGACTCCCCTAGGGTTTCTGGAATATTGAGGTATTTATAGAGCAAAGAGGCGATGTGGGAGGCCACCGAGGTAGGCGTAACCCACCTGGGCGCGCGTTGGCCCCCAGACGCGCCCTGGTGGGTTGTGTGTCACATCCCTGGTCCTGTTATGCACTAGGCTAGACCTCATGTGAGCATCATGTTTTAATTCAAATGAAATTTGAATTGAGGAATTTTCAAAGCCGTAGAAACCTTCTAAAAATGATCAACATTAAAATCTCCTCAAAGAAGTCCAAGAAAATGTTCCTCTTAGTCTCTGAAAATATTGCAAAGAGGTAAAACTCAAAACAATATTTTTGGTATCTCAGAGTTAATTATTTTGGGCCTTTGAATTAAATAAATAGCTATTTGCATTGGATATATATTTGATATATAAATAATATATGTCCAATAATTACTGGAACATTTTATGTGGTTTGGTATATTTTAGTTCTAGCCACATAACTATTTTCAGGATTTTATAAAATGGTTTAGTATATTACTAAACTAAAACAACACAGAACAAAATAGATAAATAAAAACAAAAATAGAAAGAGCAGAGGACTACCTGGCGCTCACCTCAGCCCACCTGGCCCAGCTCCTCCAGCCGGCCCAGCCCACCGCCGCTTCTCCCCCTGTCGTCTTCCTCCCCCTCGCCCCGAAGCTGCTCGGTGGCGCGCGCGGCCACGCGCCCCGGCCACCTCCTCCCTGCCTGGCTGCCTCCTCCTCTCCTGGACATCTCCCGCAGCTCCACGCCACCCCCTGGAACCCCCTCGCACTCTCTCTCGACCCCTTCCCCCTCCTCTGCTCTCTCTCTCGCGCAGCCCGAGCGGAGCTCATCGCCGCCGCTCGCCGTTGCCGCACCCAGAGCCTCCCCCTCGACCCTCGGCGTGCCCAGTAGCTCGGCTACCTCGCCCTCATCCTCTCCGACGAGTCAAGCGACCTCGGACGCCCTGCATCGCCGTCATCGAGCCGTCTTCTTCACACACGGCCGCCGGATGCCGCTCGTCGATTCGCCGTCTCCGCCACCTCCCCGAGCCCACCGAGCTGCTCGTCGACCTCGCCGTGAGCTCCTCTGCCGAACCCCTCTCTCCCCGTGCTCTATTTCCCTCCGTAGCCGCCGTTACCACCGCGACCGAGAGCTTCTCGCCGCCGGCCATGGCGTGGCCGTGGCCATAGCCACCGCAGCTCGCTCCCGAGCCCACCGTCGTGCCCACCGCAACCTCAGGAGCCCGCATCACCCACCAGTTTCTCCTGTAGCGCACCATAGCGTCGAATCGATCGGCGCCCGAACTCCGGCGCCGCCGCGAGCTCGTTTCCGGCGAGCTCCGGCCACCACAGCCGCTGCCGCTCGCCCAGTTGGATGCGGCGCATCTTCAGCTACCCGTAGGAGCAAACCACACGTCGAATGGTGCTCCGTAGCGAGCACACGTTGCATCTCCATCGTCGACCATGGTCGTCGCCGGCGAAACTCCGGCGGGAGCTGACGTGGCTCCGTCATTAGGAGCTAATCCAACTAACTAAACCAACTACAGCCACTGACAGCAGGCCCCACCCCTGGTCAAACCCCAGTCAGCGCTGGGTTTGACCGGGATTAGTTCCTGTGTCACTGACGTGTGGACCCCGCACGTCAGGTTTGACCTGGACCTGGCCGTTGACTCGCTGACGTTATGCTGGCGTCAGGCTGACGCAGTTAAATCATTTTCTGGAATTATTTTAATTCTAAATATTCAGGAAATTCCAGAAAATGTTCAAAACTTCAAAAAATCATAATAATTCAACCGTAACTCCAAATTAAATAATTTATATATGAAAAATTATCAGAAAAATTCAAGGAATCCATCTGTACCATTTTTATGCATGTTAGAACAACTTATAGCTGCTGTATAGCACAAATCAATTAAATGGCATTTGAATGATCACATATGGAGTTTGAATTTGAATCTTGTATTCAAACCAACTTCATTTAATCTGTTGCTAGTTGCATTAGCTCAAAACACATTCATATTGCCATGTCATAGCATGCATCATTTTGTGCATTGCATTGATTGTGTTCTTCTTTGTTGCCGGTATCTGTTCCCTCCCGGTAGACGATGTTCCGACGTTGTGATCGTTGACACTGATGAAGACTCAATGTTATCTTCAGAAGTGCCAGGCTA